CATCACGATCCCGGCATGGAGTCTCGCTGATGGAGAGCGGGAAACCTTGCAGGATAGGGTTGTAGCAGCTCGCGAGAGATTGCGCGAGCATANGGATCGTGTTCGTACTGTGAAGGCCACTTTGAGCCACCACCACACGCCGAGGGACTCGAGCCTATCCAGATCCCGTGTGGACACCACGGGTCGGTGCACGCCAACTGCCTGTGGGACAGAGCCGACCAGATAGCACACGGACGCGTGGATCCACGACCATGTGCCAACTGCTCGCAGGAAGGATCGAACGGACGACGACCTCCTCATCCCGCGGAACTTGTCCAGAACCACGAACTGCCGCACGCCGGGGGACGGTGGGACTTCCTGAGGGAGGCAGTGTCTTTCGCATCCGAGATAGAGGGACATTTCGAGACATGGTCTATGTGCGAATCCGGCGCAGACCCGGCGGGGCATTTCGACTCCTTCGAGAGTGTGGTGCGGGCCCACGGGAGAAGTGAGACGGCTTCCTGGCTCCTGGTCACTCTGTTCTGCGACGTATTCGGGATGGACAGAAGCGTGTACGTATACTTCCCTCGGGGCCGTAACGAGGACAACGAGTGGGACCGGTTGGTCCAGAGATACCGCTCTACATTTTACGCCCATGGAATACGGCCGTACCAGGTGCTATGGCGGCTCCCCCGGGGCAGAATCTACATTGCGCCACACGTACAGGAATACCTGGTGCACCTGGACCAGGAGTGCGAATCGCATCTCACATTATACACCGTAGCAGTACAGAACGCCCTACGCAACCCCGGCCAACCTCTGCCGCCATTCCCGCGGGTAGCGGGGGTGGCCCGGCGCCACGACGACTGGGATGAACACCATGTCCCACCCCACCAAGGAGGCGAAACTAGCAGAAACACAGTGACCCCGACTGTCGTGGCCCCACGAAGGGTGACGGGAGTTGGCATCGACCCGGGCTTTGACATGGGAAGCGGCCCAGAGGAGGAAGGAGGATTGTTGTCCCCGAGAAACCCATCCACAACAGCACACGCCACCAGTCGGACGAGCCCTCAAGTAAGACCCGGGGAAAGAAGCCAATCACTAGGAACGCCAAGGCGGCGCAGACCATCTGCTCGCGAGGGTAGCGGATTATCGGATGACGCTACTACATCGGGTGAATGTCAACGAACTTCCTCGGAACCACCTCAAGGCGGAAACAGGCGACGCAGGCAGGGACGTGAACCGGATCCAGACGGTGAGTCGCGAGAAAGAGGAACGCCATCACATCCGGCACGAACACACTGGGGAAGGGGCTCGGGAGGAACGGATACTCCGGGTGCCGATGACCGAGCGACCAGGAACGGGGACGCTGGAGGAAGCATGGAACCTGGCGCCACGGGGAACAGAAGCGAGCACCCTCGTTCCAGTACCAGATGCGGAGTGTGCTCGGGTGAGGTCATCGAGGGACACCGTGTGGTGCAACCCACTTGCGGGCATCCCATCCACGCAAGATGCGTACTAACTAGCTTGGAGGGACGCGGAGAACGCGCGCTGCTTGAGTGTAGGGTGCACGGGTGCGGGGACCAACACTCTCGGAGGGACAGCCTGGAGGCGGCGGTTCAAGCTGACCCGGGGCTGCAGCTACGAGCTGAAAGACTGATAAGGGGGTTAAACGACGAACCCCACGGAGCACGTCCGCTGTACATCTGGAACCAAGACAGTCCGGGAATAGGGCCTGCTTTGGACGATGTCAGCATGGATGATCTCTCACTCAGGTTCCAGACGGTGAAGAAAGTTCAACCTAGGTTTGCTTCCGACCATGCCCGTCTCCAAACCCACGTGCTCCACCTGGTTAACAAGCAGCTAGCAGAAGGCGGCGGCGCTTCCTCTGCGACCGGGACCCCACTTTCCACTATCCGGGTCATCAAACTTTGGTACCTCCTACCAGGTATTCTGCACTCCTTTGATGGTCGGATAGCTCGAAAAAAACGCTACAACTCGCTCAAAAGAGGGGATATATCGTCCGTTCTTCCTTGGCTGATTGAGTATACCAAGGCGGCGAGTGCAAGGAGCAGGGGACCGGCACGGGAAGACACACCCGACGACAAGTTCAAAAGGGCGGCGAGGGCGTGCCGGCACTCTGGAGGCGTGAAGGACGCAGCAAGAGCGCTCCTAGCCGATCAACCGTCACCGGGGAACGACGAGACATGGGCACGTCTGAAAGCCAAACTTCCGCATGAGCNCTTTGGTACCTCCTACCAGGTATTCTGCACTCCTTTGATGGTCGGATAGCTCGAAAAAACGCTACACATCGCTCAAAAGAGGGGTTATATCGTCAGTTCTTCCTTGGCTGATTGAGTATACCAAGGCGGCGAGTGCAAGGAGCAGGGGACCGGCACGGGAAGACACACCCGACGACAAGTTCAAAAGGGCGGCGAGGGCGTGCCGGCACTCTGGAGGCGTGAAGGACGCAGCAAGAGCGCTCCTAGCCGATCAACCGTCACCGGGGAACGACGAGACATGGGCACGTCTGAAAGCCAAATTTCCGCATGAGGATCCCGTACAAGTGGAGCAGGCCATCGCCGAAGCCATAGCTGCAAGCCGCACCGAGGAGGAGGAAGGAAGCGCCCCGAGATGGAGGCCAGAAACCGAGTTCGATCCACAAGTACTCCTTCAAGTCATCAACAGCAGAAGCTCTAACTCTGGAGCAGGAAATGACGGGCAATGTTTCTCCCACCTTAAGTTCATCGTCAACATTAAAATTGGTCGGGAAGAGTTCAGCAACGCGATGTCGTCCCTTTGGAGGAGACTCATCAACGATCCCGATGCGTTCCCACCGGAGTTCTGGACTCTTTGGAAACAATCCAGTCTAATCGCCCTCGGTGAAAAGTNAGTCCATCGTCAACACTAAAATTGGTCGGGAAGAGTTCAGCAACGCGATGTCGTCCCTTTGGAGGAGGCTCATCAACGATCCCAACGCGTTCCCACCGGAGTTCTGGACTCTTTGGAAACAATCCAGTCTAATCGCCCTCGGTGAAAAGTGCCGTCCAGTGTGCATTGGAATGACTTGGAGAAGGCTGATTGCAGCGGGAACGGTCAGGGAGTGGAAACCGAAACTGGAAGAAATATTTCGGGAAGCGGACCAATTCGGAGTGGCGGCAGCTGGAGTAGTTGAACAAGTTGCGATGGACGCACAACTGGTTCATCAGACAGGTCATTGGGTAGTCCAGACGGATTGCTCAAATNATTTCGGGAAGCGGACCAATTCGGAGTGGCGGTAGCTGGAGGAGTTGAACAAGTTGCGATGGACGCACAACTGGTTCATCAGACAGGTCATTGGGTAGTCCAGACGGATTGCTCAAATGCCTTCAACACGGGCAAGCGCACCTCCATAATGGCCCAGGCCGCAAAAAGCGTCCCAGATCTCGTGGGGTACATCGCCAGGTGTTACGACCAAATCCCGGCAAAGGCGATCTACGCGATGGACTCCGGAGAGCGTCCGACGATCGAGTGCAAGAGCGGTGTGCAGCAAGGACNTCAGACAGGTCATTGGGTAGTCCAGACGGATTGCTCAAATGCCTTCAACACGGGCAAGCGCACCGCCATAATGGCCCAGGCCGCAAAGAGCGTCCCAGATCTCGTGGGGTACATCGCCAGGTGTTACGACGAAATCCCGGCAAAGGCGATATACACGATGGACTCCGGAGAGCGTCGGACGATCGAGTGCAAGAGCGGTGTGCAGCAAGGAGATGGAATGGGACCGCCCCTGTTCTGCTTCATCCTAGTCCCGATCGTCTTGAAGCTTAGAGCCAAGTACGACCACCTCGGGGTAAGCTTGAAAGCTTATATGGACGACATCAGCCTGCACTTCAAAAATATCACAGCGGAATTTATTCAGGTGATACCGGACCTCGTCAACGAACTAGAAGCAGTGGGCATCATCGTCAACAGGGGGAAGAGCTCAGCGCTTCCCCCACCAGGGCACGACGTGACGCCAGCAGAAAGGAGGCTACTTGGCGATGCAGGCCTACCGATTGCGGAGGAGGGCATCACAGTTGTGGGAGTCCCCATTGAGACGGATGCCTACGTCGAGGATATCGCAATGAAAGTGATAACTGAAGGGGGTGCAGACAAGCTTGCTCGCATGCTGGTGCGCATGCCAGACAAACAGGTGGCTCACCTCGTCACATCACAATCGCTGACACAGCGATCCGGATGTATCGAGAGAGGCATCAATCATGAGCTAGTGAGAGGGGTTTGTGAACGCCCGGACAATATGGTGATGTGGGTCCTAGAGGCAACGATGGGGCTCAGAGA